GGAAATTACTTACTTACTTACTCACTTGAATTAAATAACGAGAGTTGATATCAAGCGATACCCCATTCTCACAAGTTGTTAACCCTATTTGTCTTATGGTTACCACTCTCATTGTGTCAAATTAAAAATTCCGCAAATCGTTGGTATAGTATTTTGCGCATGAAATGGTCATCGTCGTAACCTTTGATGGTCATCAATAACCTAACGAATAGCCAATGGAAATGCCGCAATATCGTCTTATGATGCTGGATAAGCAAATCAAATCAACGCAGATTTTCGTAACTCTTTAGTATCACACTCCGTGCAGTGTGATATGAGAAATGTCTATTCATGCAAGCAATATATAATAAGCCACAACCATAAGAGAATGAACTTTATTCTTTGAAAACGCGACGGGCGTATCATACGCCCATGGCGCAGCTGTTTATTAAAAAAGGAGTAAGAAACCTACTGGACAGCAGAGAAGAATCAGGAAAATGCATTTGTTTTTGTTAGATGTATTTCTATTTGTATCCATCTGATGAGTTAAGTCTTTTTCAACTGAGTTTTATAGTTCGTTCTTATGTTGTACTGTTACACCACTGTCCCATGTTAGGGGGAGGGTTGGGATCCCGCTAACATGTTTAACCCCGCCACATTCTGTATGTATGTGCCTGTCCCAAGTCAAGAGCCTGTTATTAAGTGGTTGTCGTTTGTTGATGTGTACATATTTGTTTTTCCTTCTTTTTTTTTTTTTTTTTACATTAATTAGGCCGTTAGCTTTCTCGTTTGAATTGTTTTACATTTGCCATTTTGAGGCCTTTTATAGCTGACTATGCGGTATGGGCTTTGCTCATTGTTGAAGGCCGTACGGTGAGCTATAGTTGTTAATTTTTGTGTCATTTGGTCTCTTATGGAGAGTTGTCTCATTATCTTCTTTTTTTATATGTAATAAAAAATATTCTACTAAAAGACACTTAATCCGACCAGTTTTTATTCCCATTGACAATAACATCTGAATTAAATTTCATATATAGTTAACAATGAAATGAATAATTCATCAGCTTAATTCACTCTTCGTACGTACGTCTCAATCCAAATTGTCTATGCTTACATTAGATTGTTGAAATCATGAATATATACTGTACATGTAATTTATTAGATGTGACAAACAACAATTTATACAGATGGCTGATACTTGTTTATAAAGTCTAAGTGTTAGTACACCTTTATTAAACTAATGAATGGATTGGTTTCGTGCCTTAAAAAGTACATAATTTGAACCCTTTTTTATTGTTTTTTAACGTAAATACAATGACACACAACATTCTAAGCTATAGGAAATTTGTATAATCACTCCATAAAACACGGACGCACTCGAAAAACCCGGACTGCTCTCGAAAAAACCCGAACAGAAATTGCAAATTAGAAATGAATTTAGTCTCAAAATATCGTTTTTCAATGCAACAACAAGAATTTTTGTAAAGTGTCTGTATATCTAAGGATATATGGATTCCATGTATGCATTTCCATCGACGTTTGCATTGGTATGTGTATAAAAATGGCTTTATTCTGTTTTTTGGAATAAAAGCATTGTAAGGCTAAATTCAACTTTTTGAACGAAAAATAATGTCGGATTGATAATATCTTTTTATCTCAAATACTAACACACCTTGTATATCCTTGTATATTAAACTCAAGCTTCTATATCACGTCTTTTCAGAAAGTAAGTCTGTTTGTTTGCATTTGTGATCATATTCACTAGATAAAGCGGTCACACTCGAAAAAACCCGATCAAATCACTCGAAAAACCACGATCCTAGCCGGACACTATACCTACGGTGAAAGAGCAGAAAACAGCCCATGGCCACCAATGGGTCTTCAACACAGCGAGAAAATCTCGCACCCGGAGGCGGGCTTCAGCTGGCCCCTAAACAAAAAAGTGTACTAGTTCAGTGAAAATAGTCGTCACACTACACGTGTCATGATTGTGAGTATTTTGCTTTTGGTACAAAAGTTCTCAATGGGTCCTTAAAACTTTTTTATTTTTTGTCGCTTCAAAAATTAAAGGAAAAAAAAGAAAATGTTAAACATAAAGACCATCTATTTTACATCATTGAAACATTTTTAGTTTTAAATGAATAAAAATCAATCTATTTACTAAATAGTGAATTACACTTAATTCTTAAGAACGATTTTAACTTATATTAATCATACTCTAAGACATAAAGGAATTAAATGAAATATTTATTTTTCGTTTTCAATCTACTGTTTAACTTGGGCAGTTAGATAGAGGCGTGGAGATTATCATTAATTGTATCTACAAACACTTATATCAATCGTTGTACATATAAAGTCTAACTCTAAGTCCACGATTACTCTGACGTCTGATAGATGGTAATACTTTTGATGACAGAAACCAATTCAACGCTTTACAGTCTGTATGAATGTCCGCTTCAGCATATAGTCCAAAACCCATTGTGGATGGGGCCCTGTATCCGTTGTGTTGGATAATGGACCGGCATTTGTCCTGATAACGCTTGCTGTTATCATTATAACTATGTCCTAGACTCATCGACCAGTACTTCATCGGTTGCACAGCTGACCTACCTGGCCCTGAAAACAGCAGTTGTGAAGACTACTGCTGATCAAAATTATAGTAAAGATACATAAACAACATAAGTAAAACCAAAATGGCCGCCTTCTATCCGACCAACTTGGCGACAAAATATATTCCAATGCTCACCAAACGCCCCCAGGGCACCGAGCCGACCGTACAAGGGCTTAACAGCCAGTCAAGGTAGTTAAAAACCACCCTAGTAGTGGTTCTGACGTCCGATGGCCTGTTTTGGGGGATTGTCTGTATCCAAAACAGTTCGTCGGACGTCGAACATACGTAACATTCACATTAAGATTATGAACATTTTAAGTGTGTTGTTTTAAAGTATTTGCATGGTAATCAAACATGGTTCATTGCATGTTGAGTAACCATGCATGTTTAAAAATGAAAACAACATGTTATAAATTTCATGCGTCCGAAGCGCTTTCTGATATTACCTTCATCGGGAACGCTCAAAGCTAAAGCCAAGGATGCATAAGTCGCATGAGAGCCGATTCAGTTGAAAAACTAAAATACCAAAAGGATTTTAAAAAATAGCCAAACCCCATCCAAGGTCAACTTTGCCTGAGGTAGTTGAAACCTTAGTTTCTAATAATTTCAAAATTTATTAATGGACACTTTTAGAAAGGTTTTAGTTTAGTATGACGTCCATTATCACTGAACTAGTATACATATTTGTTTAGGGGGCAGCTGAAGGACGCCTCCGGGTGCGGGAGTTTCTCGCTGCATTGAAGACCCATTGGTGGCCTTCGGCTGTTGTCTGCTCTATGGTCGGGTTGTTGTCTCTTTGACACATTCCCCATTTCCATCCTCAATTTTATTTAAATTCTAAATAATTTTATATGGATATGTAATTCAGTGAATGTCGTTTGTTGCTGTATATCATATTTATTTTTCGTTCATTATTTTTGTACATAAATTAGGCCGTTAGATTTCTCGTTTGAATTGTTTGACATTTTCCATTTTGGAGCCTTTTATAGCTGATCATGCGGTATGGGTTTTGCTCATTATTGAATGCCGTACGGTGACCTATAGTTGTTAATTTCTGTGTCATTTTATCTCTTGTGAAGAGTTGTAACATTGGCAATCATACCACATCCTCTTATTTTTATATTAAATTGTTTTAATTTTGAATTGAAGGCATTTGTCTGTTTTGAAAAGCCTTATTGTGACCTTTTATATAATTACATGTCGTGTGTGGTAACTTTTGTTGCTATATATCGCTGTGTAATTGGTGTTTATCACACAATAATCGTTTTATTCACATCTAGCTATAGTATAACGAATATTGAAGTAATTAAAAACTCTAAGTCTCCGCGATCGCGAACTTGTCTGTTTTGCATCACATTAAGTTTCTCGGTGCTCTATTCATGTTTTGATACAAATTTCAATGTTAATTTCCACTCTTCTATTTTTTATGGTACTTTTTTTAAGACTTGCTGAAATGGAATTTGATGTAGAAGTCTCTTGTCTCTTTCACTTTCTTTTATTCAGAGGTTAATTACATTTTGCCTCTGCTTGATCGTTCTTTTTATATGTTGAACCGTATAAATTCGAGAAATTTATAAAATCCTACATAATGTGTATCAACTTTTTATAAACTTGATTACTATCACCGGACCCGTACCTACTCGATTAAAATTGCGGAGCATAATATAAAAAATACTGTACTATATATAATGATATATTCTCTTTATAAGTCTTTTCTTTACCGCAATTTTGCAATAACATATCAAATTATTTTTTTAATCATCTTCCCACGACATTTTTGGGGATCTGCGATATAATAATCATAAAAAGTTTAGCATTTATATGGCATATTTTAGACTTTACTATGTATGTTCTTTTTATTATAATCATTTCATTCCCAATTTTTCAATTTACTGAATATTTTTATTTGTTTTGTTTTTAAACCCCTTCCCACGACATATATTTGGAGAGCATTAGTCATATTGTGCGGTATAATAATCAGGAAAACATTGTTGTAAAAAAAAATTGTATAGTTAGTATTTATATATGGCCCGTCTATATGCCTATTTTCTTTTTATTTTCTTTATTTAACTGCAATTTTAATATTTCAATATTTGTTTTTATTCGGAAAAATTGATTACCAACTTCCACGATTGTAATTTACCTGGACCACACGCTTTAACTGATTCACCTGTATACCCAGACACTTCATCCGCATCAAGGTACCGATGGTTTTCATTAAATTCGTAGATATTTTCTACCGTATTGATCACATGATAGAGATGTTATATTTTTTATTTGGATTTTAAACTGTTATGTTACATCCTGATAAGATGTTGTCCAGTGTGTATAAAAGAAAATTTACTATTTACATTCCCTTTGAAGGCCCCCGAATACACCTGATTAATACCTGACGCATGCGCAGAATGTCAAAGCGTCTCTCACCTTTGTCAAACGGTGAGGTAATTAGGTCGCCATTTTGAAATATAGGAAGTAGACTGAGACTGAGGAAGAAAGAAAAATTATGAGTTCAAGATGAAATCTTAATTAATTTAGTTACACAGTTGGTAAACACAATGTTTAATTGGAAAGGCGCGCTCACGTGCGCCTTTTTGGCGCTGTTTGTTGTGTGGACGTCTGGAATACCAGGTACTGAAAAAGGGGTTTACCGATGGATGGAGAGGGACAATTTCGATGTAATTATCGATAGATTATCAGAAGTTACCGCAGAAAATTGTCGAGCCAAGCCAAAATCCGAACTGACTCTTCCTAAAGAGTCTGTTACACAGTATCCTATGTACAATAAACTACTAAGCAGTGTGATTCACCAAAATCGTTCTACTTTATTGCATCTTCATAATATGGCGCTAAACAGAGCATTTTTTTACAGTTTCATTTATCAAGCACAGAATATGTCAGTAGACTTTTTTAACCAGCCTGGTTTCATGTATTTATACATGTCTAATGCTGCTGATGTGACAGCAGGCGCTGGCTTTGTGAACGGTTCCGGTCTTTACTTTGATAATAATGTGTATTATCCAAATTGGTGGACTAGAATTGTCGATTTCAATAGCACTCTTCCTTTGTATGGACCAAGAGCGTGGAGAGTTGACGATTATGATGAAGCAACTAATTGGTTACGCGAACCTACAAACAATACAGTTGATATTCATGATTATGCAGCTGGTCGTTCCAGTAACTATTCGAGCCAAGCTTTCAAGTCCGCTCCATGGTATTCAAACTGGTTACCAGATATATCCGGTGAAACTGATTCTGTTGACAAATATACATATGCACCAAAAATTAGACGCTCAAATGAGACGGGGAGATTTGTAAAAGAAGAATTTAGCAGTATTCCGTTCTTTGGTCCACCACAGCCTGGTCAAACAGGGTCCATCAGACTACCAGTTTTGTGGACACAACCATACTTTGACTGTGGCAGATCTAACAGGTGGATCATCAGTGCTAGTTCACCAGTGACAGAGTACATGCCAAGATATTCAAACTGGACGCATTTGAGAAGACCAAGGTACACACATTGATGTTTAAAAAAAAGCTTTCCAGTGTAATTACACTAAACGAATAAACATGACTTAGATGAAAAAAATTAATGAGTTAATTCTGAAAGGGTATTTGTTGTACATGAAGCAACACATTAGAGTAAAATGATTTTATGTCCAGTGGCAAATATTACATGCCTACCAGGATGAGAACCTACTTTTACTAAACTGACACACTGGGTCAGATTTTTAATGTGCAATTTCATTAAAATGTTCGTCAAAGGCACTCTTTTTTACCGTCCACAATAAATATTATTATAAAATTCATAAACATTGGTATGTTTTCAGGTTTTACAATTCATATATATATTTTAATCGTATAAATATTATTTTAATCGGGGTCGGACTGACATGGGACAAATTAACTTGGGGCCGGATCGACATGAAAGTTGCAGAATAGCCTTTCAACAAGATAAATGTATCATAATTTTTTGGAACACTGGTCTGGCTTCTCTCATACTTTTGCCACTAGATGTTAAGCAACCATCAATCTCTCTTACATATACAAACTTTTTTTTTAGGTTTACAGCTGTGGCTACACAGGATATAGAGTTTGAGAGGATTGATATCAACCCCTGTCCTGTCAGTGAGGGTAACAAAGAACCTAATATGTTTGCTGGCACAGCAAGATGTAAAAAGTCTACCATTGTAAGTGTTTACTATATAAACCAAAGTAAGTTTTCAGGAGTAAAATGAGCGTATAACACAAATTATGTACACTTTAAATCAATGAAATCCTTAAAACTTTAGCTGTGCTTGCAATAGAATTTTGGTGTACATTTAATATTTTGTGAATTAAAGTCAGCATTGAAAGACTGAAATATATTCAGAGGATATTCATGATATTGGCACTACCTCATTTATATTCATGAACAATATATTGTTTTACATCTTAATGAGGTCTTAAAGAAATCTCAATATGAAAATTATGAGATGTGGTATGATTGCCAATAAGACAACCAACCACAAGAGACCAAAGGATGAAGATGCAGGGTTCTCACTATAGCAAGTTCAAGAGTCCTGGACTGTTAAAATCTGTCTGCTCAGTATTTTTAAAACTGGTGAGTCCAAAGCATGAAAGATGAATCAAGATTTTTCAAATGATATTGTCAACTGAGCACACATATCAACATTTATAGCAAAAGTATAAAAAAAAAAACAAAAAGAATTTGATGTCATTTCCATGTAAACTCTGTTTTATCATATGCATGGAGCCTGAAATAATTAAATCCATAAAGTTGTTCTTTTCATTGTTGGACTTGCCATGACCAAAATAATGAGTTGAGTCCCTGGACTCGCTTTCAAAAATCCTTAGTAAGAACCCTGAAGATGAAAGCAACTATATGTCACTGTACACTACAGTCTTCAAAAATGAGCAAATCCTATTACATTTTTAGTATCCTTTTAAATGCCCAGGCATGGCATGATTTGAGAAAATTTTAACGAAAAAAACCAACCACCTGATTTATCAAGATTATGCTTAAACACACATAACAGACAACAACCAACAACTGCCACTATATGGCAGGCTACTGACTTAAGACGAGCATATAAAGAATTGGGTGAGGTAAATATTCAACCCTCCCCTGACGTAGCAGCACAAGTTGAAAACAAACTGTAAAAATATGTTGGAAATGGATGGACTCACCAGATGGACACAAATGATGAGTAACCAAAAGTCCAAAAGACATGTAGAGAGTACATTGTAATAACCTGAAGTGACTGAAATTATTACATTGATAAAAATCCTTGATGAGTATTATGTTATCTTTTCAGTGCGAGACCTTGGGATTTGAGGGATGGGGCTTCAGAAGAGGTGGTTACCAGTGTGCTTGTCAGCCTGGATACTACTACCCATGGTGGCATGATGGACCCTTCCTTGGTGAAGAAATTGAACAAGCTACAAAAGAAGAATATGAAAATGGATTTGACTGCCTTCCAATTTATGGTAATTATAAATTTATTAGATAGACTCGTACATTAGCAGACCCTTGAGGTGTCACGGAATAGAAGTTCCTTCATAATATAAGTTCCAAATGGAAACAATATTCTGGAATATTATTTCCACTGGAATAAATATTACAGTAAATGTTCCCGACGGAATAAATGGTATAGAATATTTGTTCCTACAGGAACAGATATTATGACATTGTTTATAACAAAGTTTCCAGTGGAACTTCTGTTAGGCAGAACAAAAATACGTTGACAGACTTGTGGTTTTTCTGGAAAGCCTGTTGAATAGAGAAATAGCATTTAAAATGTAAACGCCAAGATTTCTGTAAATAACACCTAGGGGATGTGTATTTAGTGGATAGTTTCATACATGGTTGATATAGAAATGTATTGGGTATAATGGTTTCAAGATTTCAGGCTTTAAAGTATTTTCTTTATGTAAATAAAAAATTGTTTATCTTAGCATTTTTATTGTCCCTTTTAGAAATAATAATTTTTGATTTTAGAATTTATTTATTGAGGGGTTTCTTTTACATAATGTCATCTTAAATTTCAGAATTGCAAGTACCTCCTCAGAAAAATCCTAGTTTTGTTGATAGAAAGAAGAGATCTGTAGCAACATCCCTCAAAGAACAGTTTCTTAGTGAGGTTATGCCGTCTTCACAAAGTGCAAGGGTTAAATTAGTTGCTAAAAGATCATTAGCAAAATTAAGGAAGAAACGCTTTGTACCACGATTTAAAGGAGAAGAGCCACATATGAGGTATAAAAGAGATTTATTTGACACAGATAGATATGACAGACTGAATAAAATAATGGACAGAAAAGACACAACAACTAGATCCAACTGTCATACTAAACATTCCTATGAAAGATTTCTTCCTGGAGATGCTGCTTACGGGGTAGAAGCACAGTTTGAAGCCGAAGGTCGTACTGCATTGCGTTTAGCTCATTTTCTAAGCAATTTCCTACAGAACGTTGATGAATATGAACAGTTTGGTAGTATGGATGGGGATAGAAGATTGAATGAGACCCATGTATTTGGAGAAGTTATTGCTAATGTGATGAGTAACTTCAAGATTGTGGGAAGTGGGGCCTTCTTTGATAGATACAGTTTCAGAATGTCTCCTCCTATTAATAATACTGACCCTAGGTTTTCCAATGGAATCACCAGAGAATACTTCGGTCCATATTCATGGGTAGAACATAAGGCTGGAACAGCTGGATTAAACTTAGATTTTAAAGCTGAAGACTTTGCTGGCCATAAAACATTTTACACGGATGAACCATGGTTCCGAAACATGAAGGCTAGATGGCAGACCAACTTTGTCATGCTGAAAAAATTTACATTGAAACCAATGATCAGGTCAGATCCAGCAGGAACTAGTTTGATAAGATTTGAACATTATCCATTGACATTTTTTGCACCTAAATATGAACATGGTGAATGGCTGAGACCAGAGTTCAAATGTGATGAAAGGATAATGGATTGGGTAGTCACATATGTGGTTCCTTTCTTTGGTTTGGACAGTCTCAAATCTAGACTAGAATTCAAGTAAGTGTAAAATCAAGTAACTTTGAAAATGAGAATCTGGATATTAAAAAAAAATCTAGCATACAGCCTTTAATAAACTTAAGAAAACAAATAGGTCTGTAAATAACATACATTTGTATATTGGTCTCCTAAAAGGGGGAACATTTTATTATGAATTTAACTTATTGCTATTGTACAGAAGTGGAAACTCCCAACTCTGCTATCCATAGATGTTAACACTATAATTACATGTACAATTCTTGAAAAATAGGAATGATAATTCAGATAAAAATATATGTAATCATCTATTGTATTTAAAAATTTATCAGCAATATATATTATAATCATGAAGAGAATGTCTTATTTCAGAGGTGTAGTAACAGTAGATGTCAAATTAGATTACCTACAGATAACTCAGTGTCCTGGTCCATTCTACCAAGCTAATGCCTTCAAAAATACAGCAAAGTGTCATTATCAATCAACTTATGTAAGTACCAACTTAATTACACTATCTTGTATGTGGAATTATGATTGTGTGGAAAAATTAAGATTGTGGGGAACCTTCGAATTATAAACTGGGAAAATCAAAAATCAATGTAATGTGTTCCCTCTATTAGACTGACAGCATGTTATTCAGAGTCAGTTGTTGAAAGTTAGAAAAAGACCAAGGAAATTTCTTTAAATGGATTAATTTGACTGGATTTTGAGATGCACATGTACCAGTATTTAAAAATACTTAAACCTAATGTTAGAAACTAATTTGACAATATTGGTGGACATGAGCTTATATATATATATATGGTATATCTTTGAAACCTGTAATAACAAAGAGATGTTGTTAATTGTTATATTTTGGTGTTTGAGTATCTTCTTGTCTTGACATTGGTGGAATGTATGGTTTTATGTATTGTGTTGTCTGTCCTTGGCACTGGCGGAATAATCACGTGAAATTTACTGTGATTTTTCCCTGGTTCCAATAATAGATAGCATTGAATCTTCTTTCTGTTGGTGCTCTGTTGTTGAAAATGTAGATTTTTGTTTGTCTCCCTTGAGATGATTGTCATAGATTAGGGAGTCTTGGGGTGCGTAAATGGTGACTCTTGGTGAAGACTGTGTTAACTATTTGTTTAAAGCTATATATTTCAAAAGGTGCAGTTAATACTAACTGAATTGTCCACATCATTTATCAACATCTGAGTTTCAGATTTACTATACGGTACATGTTAACTTTATCTGTTGTATAGCATTATCATGTTTATTGTAAGGTGTATATACTGTATGTCCATGGCAAAGCTTATCTGACCTTGACCTCATTTCCATGGATCACTTACCAAATCTTAGTTTTTGTCTCGCCTTGACGGAGTCAAAAAGCGAGACCGGTATGCTGTTTCCGGCGTCAGCGACGGCGTCAACAATGTATTAGTTTGTGATTAGGTCTAGTTCATGGTGAACCACTAGTGGTAGGTCAATGATATTTGGTATGCAGTTGTATTAACATTGGCACATCTCATTACCATGGAGATTATTTGGCCCCGCCCCCTCAGTCAAGGTCTATTGACTTTGAAACTTTTCATAGTTTACATGTATTAGTTTGTGATTAGGTCAATTTATGGGGAACCACTAGTGGTAGGTCAATGATATTTGGTATGCAGTTGTATAAGCATTGGCATATCTCATTTCCATGGAGATTTTTGGCTCCGCCCCCTTAGTCATGGTCTATAGACTTTGAAAATTTTGCTAAGTTAACATGTATTAGTTTGTGATTAGGTCAGTTCAAGGGGAACCATTAGTGGTAGGCCAATGTTAATTGGTGTTCAGTTGTATAAGCATTAGCACATCTCATTTCCATGGAGAATATTTGGCCCCGCCCCCTCAGTCATGGTCTATTTACTTTGAAACTTTTGCTTAGTTTACATGTATTAGTTTGTGATTAGATCAGTTTAAGATGAACTGCTAATGTTAAGTCAATGATATTTGGTATGCAAATTTATTGGCATTTGCAAGTATCGTTTCCATGGAGATTATATAGCCCACCCCTGATCATGGTTCATTGACTTTGAAACTTTTACATAGTTTACAAGTTAATGTTTGTGTTTAGGTTTGTTTAAAGGGAACGACTTATAATAAGTCAATGGTATTTGGTATGCAGTTGTATTAGCATTGGCACATCTCATTCCATGGAGATTGTTTAGCCATGTACCTTCAGTCATGGTTCATCGACTTTGAATATTTGCATAACTTATATGTTAAAGTATTGCTATTTTAATTTCAACATTTCCATTATCAAAATTACAAAAAGGCGAGACATATCTCTGTGATAACAGTTTATTATGATACCTGTAGTAAGTTCTTGATCTGAAAGACTTCCAACATTCAGCCATTATCAGTAAAGCTGTCCAACATTTTTATGCCCCCGCCGTAAGCAGAGGGGGCATTAAGTTTTACCCTTGTCTGTCTGTACGTCCCGAAATTGGTTTCCGTTCTCTAACTTAAGTTTGCCACAACCAAATGTTATGAAACTTATACACAATTCTTATTACCACAAAACACAGCTTAAATTTGAATTAGGGTGGCATCACTTTTACCTTTCTAGAGTTATGCCCCTTTACAAATGGAAAAATTGTTGAATTTTTTGTTTCTGTTCTCTAACTCAAGTTTGCCTCAACCAAAAGTTATGGAACTTATACACAATGCTTATTACCACAAAACATAGAATGATCATGTATGAATTTGAGTAGCATCACTTTTTTCTGTTTGAGTTATATCCCTTTATAATGTTATATGCAAGCAGGGGCATCATCTGTGTCCATGGGACACACACAACCCATTTATTGTATGAATACTCTTGAATTTCTTCTTTCTTCATTCAGTCTTCATTTCATTCTGTGTTGCATAAATGTCATGTGTGACATACTTGTTTTGTTGATAGATTGTATTACTTTATTGCTACTGTTGTGTGCCCTTTTCTTAAAAATCTAAATTTCAATTGACTTTTTAAGACGAAGCTACAGTTTTAAATGAAAACAAACAACAACAAAAATAGAAGAAAAAGGTGATCACACACACAACTTAGAAATGAAAAAAAAATTATTTTATTTTATGTTTTAATCTTTTGCACTGTACAGTTTAAATGTTATATACAATGCTTTCTGTGTATATTTTTAGTGTATTCCTACTCCTGGCAGAATTCCAGATAAAAGATATGCCATTGGTAATTACAAATGTGAATGTCGCCAAGGTTATGAGTATATATTCAATGATAATGCCTGGTTCTATGATGGGCAAACAATAGAAAATGAATACCAGAAAATGGAAGCTGGTTTACCTAACAGGTAAGTTAAAATGGCTAACAATATGATGTTAAGTATAACTTAAGTAATAATTTAGAATATGCTGAATGTCTGTCAATACTAAATTTATTATGATATTAGAGGACACACCATTTGTGCTAGATTTTAAAAACGATGCATTGCTCTGAAAATATTTCAATGGAAAAAAAAGTCTACCTTCCTCCTTTGTTGTACTTAATCTGTGGGTAAGTGTAAATATACAAACATGTATAAACATGATAAAGATGAGTTCAATAAATTGGATGGACATTCATATTTGGATGACAAAATTTTAAGTTGGTATGAACATGAACTCTGCTTTGTGCTAGACTCAGACACAAGAGCTGAATTTTTAACTTGTTAGTTTACAAGGAAACAGTCTGCAGGAAGAAATATTGCCATTCTTGGACACATTTTTTGGAAGAGGCAACCAGTCTTTGTTCTTATAATTCTAAATTCCATGTGCTTAGTGCAAAAGCAGCAAATACCAATTTTCAACTCTGTGGTTTGATGTGGCCAGGTATCAAATCATTGCCTTTTCTCCAACATGAAATCAATAAATTGAACTTCAATCTACATGTGATTCACTTTTAGCCATACAGATAACCATAAACCTTCCATAAAAACATGGTATATAAATTGAATAGTTTAATGATACAGAATAAAGCATAAAAATTAAGCAAAACAAAATTAAATTTATATAATTTTTTTATTTTCTATTACACAGGTTTGAGACATTGAAGTGTAGAATTGCTGGAGCATCGGCAATTGTGGCTAACTGGGTTCTTATTGGTTTACTCTCTGTTGCCTTAGCAATACTGAACAGAAGCTAAAGATCTGATGTGTTATTTAGAATCTGGCTTAAATGATTTCCAAATACTTTATATCCAAACTATACACAAAGTGCTTTTGTGATTATTCCCGTGTTAATCTAGAGATTTAAGTAAAGATTGATGAAAGCATATGATCAATGAAATATCAAAACAAATTACCATCTTGAAAGTACCATAGGACATAGTAAACAAAAAACTTAATTCTCAAAATTTTCCATGGATGTTTAATCATCAAATACTTATACTCAAAACCTCCAACTTAATCAATATTATTAAGAAATAAATGAGATTCCAATTTTTATGATAATAATATTGAGATTATATTCTCCCTTCAATGAGATTTGACTTTTGTAATCATGAGATTCAGCAGTTTCTCCTTTTATATTCTATTGATTTATATTTATATATTTTCTGTTTATCTTTATTTGTAAACTGAGATTCTTTTAATCTTTGTTAGAGATCTGACTTTTTTCTGATATTAAGCATATCGTTCTCATTTGTGCATAATGAGTATTTTTACATTATTTTATTATTCTATAATCGTGAATTTATAACAGGAATTAATCATAAAGTAATTTTTTTTATTTCCACCATTTACATGAATAATAATCTCCATTTCAAAAAGAAAATTTAGTTTTGACCTTTATGGTGAGTGCCCTTAAAACATTAAAACATTGAGTTATAGTAAGAGATACAAAGTGCAAATTTCACAGTGTTTGTAGTGCTGTCTGTACATGTGCAATACAGACATAAATATTACAGTTTAATTATTCATATACATATTCAATTAATGATTCTTGATCAAAAAAAGTCAAATGGAAAAATACCATTTTCTGACATGTTGTATTCAATAAGTCATCTGGTATCTTAAATTGTGATTTAATTTTTTCTAGTCCTGCATGTGTCTCAACACTTGCGTGCCTCAAACACCTGTGAAAGTAACATTCGTTAGATTTTTTTTATTCAACTTTTATAAAAGTTAGTTTGTTTTTTTTTTCTTTTTTTTTTATGCTGTAGTCCAGAATTTTGAAAAGACATAAATAAAGTTAGGAGATATCAAATAGACTTTCGAAATTCTTGCCTGTCTTTTACAGTATACACATGTATTTAATGTATCATAATTCTGACTGATCAAAGTAGAAAAAATCAATATGATTAAATCAAAATAGATATTGTACATATTGCAGTTACAGAAATAGCTCATATAAGTAGAGATTTATCTATATATGTTATACTGACCAGAAACAAAACAAACTGATTTTCATATTGTTTTTATACGACCGCAAAAATTAAAAATTTTTTGGTCGTATATTGGTATGACGTTGGCGTCGTCGTCGTCGTCGTCGTCGTCGTCCGGCGTCGTCTGGCGTCGTCCGAAGACACATTGGTTTTCGCACTCTAACTTTAGTTTAAGTGAATGGATCTCCATGAAATTTCACCATAAGGTTCAATACCACGAAAGGAAGGTTGGGATTGATTTTGGGGGTTATGGTACCAACAGTTAAGGAATTAGGGGCCAAAAAGGGGCCAAAAATAAGCATTTTTGTAACTTTCAGACAATAACTTGTGTGTAAGTGTATGGATCTCTCTGACATTGTACCACAAGGTTCCATATCACAAAAGGAAGGCTGTAATTGATTTTGGGGGTAATTGCCTCAAAATTTTAGGAATTAGGGGCCAAAAAAGGGGCAAAAAACAAGCATTTTTCTAGTTTCATGACAATAACTTGTGTGTAAGTGTTTGGATATTTCTGAAATTGTACTACAAGGTTCCATATCACAAAGGGAAAGCTGGAATTGAGTTTGGGGGTAATTGCCCGAAACGTTTAGGAATTGGGGGCCAAAAAGGGGCCAAAAATAAGCATTTTTCTAGTTTCCAGACAATAACTTGTGTTCAAGTGTATGGATCTCTCTGAAATTGTACTGCAAGGTACCATACCACAAAGGGAAGGCTGGGATTGAGTTTGGGGGTGATGAATCATAAGGGGGTTCAAAAAATTTGGGGGGGGGGGATTTTTTTTTTTTTTTTTTTCTTTTTTTCCTTTTTTTTTTCTTTTAAAATTTTCCATTTTAAGTTGGTTATTTCTGATTTATATTTAAAAGCAAATAATAATGATATGGTAGGAGATACACACCAAACAGGATATGTAAATTATTATATAATAAGTATTGTGCAATAGCAAGAAATTTTCAATTGCACAGTATTGCACAATAGCAAGAAATCTTCAATTGCACAGTATTGCACAATAGCAAGAAATCTTCAATTGCACAGTATTGCGCAATAGCAAGAAATATCCAAAAGCACAATATTGCGCAATAGCAAGAAATTGTCAATTGTACAGTATTGCGCAATAGCAAGAAATATTCAATTGCACAGTATTGTGCAAAAGAAGATACTTCGTATAAATTGCTTATTTCTTGATCAATTTCAATGGGGTTTTATTCTTGAATTCTTGGGGTTCTTTAATATGCTGAATCTAACCGTGTATTAAGTTTTTGGATTTTGGGCCCCGTTTTTAAATTGGTCCACATTGAGGTCCAAAGGGTCCAAAATTTAACTTTGTTTGATTTCATCAAAAATTGAATTATTGGGGTTCTTTGATATGCCGAATCTAACCGTGTATTTAGATTTTTAATTTTGGGTCCCGTTTTTTAAATTGGTCGACATTAAGGTCCAAAGGGTCCAAAATTAAACTTAGTTTGATTTTAACAAAAATTGAATTCTTGGGGTTCTTTGATATGCTGAATCTAAACATGTGTTTAGATTTTTGATTATGGGACCAGTTTTCAAGTTGGTCCAAGTTGGGTCCAAAATTAAACTTTGTTTGATTTCAACAAAAATTGAATATATGGGGTTCTTTGATATGCTGAATCTAAACATGTATTTAGATTTTAGATTTTTGGCCCAGTTTTCAAGTTGGTCCAAATTGGGGTCCAAAATTAAACTTTGTTTGATTTCAACAAAAATTGAATATATGGGGTTCTTTGATATGCTGAATCTTACCATGTATTTAGATTTTTTATTTGTGGGCCCGCTATCAAATTGGTTCATATTGAGGTCAAAAGGGTCCAAAATTAAACTTTGTTTGATTTCATCAAAAATTGAATTATTGGGGTTCTTTGATATGCCAAATCTAACCGTGTATTTAGATTTTTAATTTTGGGTCCTGTTTTTTAAATTGGTCTACATTAAGGTCCAAAGGGTCCAAAATTAAACTTAAGTTTGATTTTAACAAAAATTGAATTATTGGGGTTCTTTGATATGCTGAATCTAAACATGTGTTTAGATTTTTGATTATGGGACCAGTTTTCAAGTTGGTCCAAGTTGGGGTCCAAAATTAAACTTTGTTTGATTTCAACAAAAATTGAATATATGGGGTTCTTTGATATGCTGAATCTAAATATGTATACAGATTTTAGATTTTTGGCCCAGTTTTCAAGTTGGTCCAAATTGGGGTCCAAAATTAAACTTTGTTTGATTTCAACAAAAATTGAATATATGGGGTTCTTTGATATGCTGAATCTTACCATGTATTTAGATTTTTTATTTGTGGGCCCGCTATCAAATTGGTTCATATTGAGGTCAAAAGGGTCCAAAATTAAACTTTGTTTGATTTCATCAAAAATTTAATTATTGGGGTTCTTTGATATGCCAAATCTAACCGTGTTTTTAGATTTTTAATTTTGGGTCCCGTTTTTTAAATTTGTCTACATTAAGGTCCAAAGGGTCCAAAATTAAACTTAGTTTGATTTTAACAAAAATTGAATTCTTCGGGTACTTTGATATGCTGAATCTAAACATGTGTTTAGATTTTTGATTATGGGACCAGTTTTCAAGTTTGTCCAAGTTGGGGTCCTAAATTAAACTTTGTTTGATTTCAACAAAAATTGAATATATGGGGTTCTTTGATATGCTGAATCTAACCATGTATTTTGATTTTGGACATTGGACCATAATAGGTAAATTAAAAAAATTGAAGTTCTTAGACCACATTCTTTCTGTGTCAGAAACCTATGCTGTGTCAAATATTTAATCACAATCCAAATTCAGAGCTGTATCAAGCTTGAATGTTGTGTCCATACTTGCCCCAACTGTTCAGGGTTCGACCTCTGCGGTCGTATCAAGCTGCGCCCAGCGAAGCATTTTATTGATCAATTGATTTTACTGCATAAGGATACTTTTGATTTCTTTTCAGAGCAATGGAAATTTACACTTTTTTGAGCGATGATTGCCCAACAAAAAATATTTTAAAAATACATGTATTGAAATAATGGATTTATTTGCAAAATATAAGAAGAGGCAAATATTTCAAAAACCACTTTTTCAATCACTATTTTATACAAAAATCATCAAAACTCAAACTGAAAATTTATTGTGTGATTTGTATGACTGTACTGTTGAATGTTTATTATATATTTTATATTTTTGAGTGCAAGATAAATGGTGCAATTATTGTGTTATATATTTTAGATATTGATAAAATGTAAATATGTAAATAATGATTATTATGTAATTATGTGTATATACAAAATTATTTCCAAATGTGCCATGATTTTATACATAAAAGATATAGTACAAAATCATACCTTCTAATCTCCTATATAATGAACTAGGTTGCCCTTATTTACAAGATTCGTGAATTTTGGAAACACTGAAAGAAACCAGATCAACCAGGTACTGGATTAAGCCTTCTTTTTTCTTTGATCATTAAAATTAGATCGAAAAATAAATCTTAGCAATTTGTGAATTCTCATCAGAGTTTGAAAAATTTGTGAGAAAACTGTTTAAGAGGTTGTATCCATTTATAATTTTCACTGATCTCCAGTGGAAATGTAATGAATTTTTTATTTTTGCCATTATATAATTCCAATAGTCTTCCCATCATTAGCATGACAAATAAAATATGTTTACTTGAAAAAACATTCTGTGGAAAAAACCATAGAACTAGAAAGGGGGTGGGGAGGAATGATCTTAAATCTATATAAGGTTGACAATAAGACTTCTTTAACTAAACTGAATCTTGCGTATTAATGGTTGTTATAAATTGTTTCACATTCCACATTGTTTTATATGATGTACAAATGTTTTAATACATATCAAATTTTACTTTGTACTATGCATTTTATATACTATTTGAAAATAAAATTATTTTTCTATTCAGTGATTTTTACGCTTGCATAAATTGCTGAAGAGGAAAGATTGAGATAGTTGATAGTTGTTGATGTCTTTAAGCTATACATGATGCATGCATGACTTTAACAAATAAGGAGATGTTGTACAATTGCAAGTGACCTGTGTATATTCAGAAGGCTTGCTTTCTGATTTTGCATTAGAAAAATAAAAAGATAGAATAGAGAATGGAAATGGGAAATGTGTCAGAGACAACAACTCGACCAAGGAGCAGAAAACAGCCCAAAGCCACCAAAAGGTTGAAACATAGGCTGCTTCAATGTTAAAAACGATAAATAAAAGACTTTCTTGTATGAGATTGTAAATGACAGAACATAAAATATATACTGTAAATTCAGAAATTATTGCGTGCATTTATTATTGCGATTTTGTCATTTTAGACTAAAATGCGATTTTAATTTTTGCGATATTGAGAAAAGTCCTGTTTAATTAATATAAAAAATTTCAAAATGCGAGTTTAAATTATTGTGATCATAACCCTGTTGCATTTTTCGCAATAATAAAAACATCGCAATAATTTCTGAATTTACAGTAACAAGGTATATAATTTCTTAATTTATGGTTACTTTGAATAGTAAATTAGAGATTTCGTTTACACCAGTCACCAGAACTGTGAATTAAGATTTTTGCAGCAGACAATGGAATTTAAAATATTGCATCTGCATTTATCAAACTTTCTCAACACTGTATTTGGAAAAATGGGTTGATATATCATTGTAAGACAAAATATAAGATCACAAATGTTCTTATGAAGCTAGTAGTTTTCTTGTTTGAATTATTTAAATTTGTAATGTAGAGACCTTGCATCAGAGTAGTCTGTACTTTGGTACTGACATGGTGATTAAGTTAATAAGGTTCCAACTCCCTCAGGCAAAGTAACCTTCCAATGAGTTGTCTTTTATATTAAGGTTTTTTGTCATATAGCTCTTTAACTGTTTCATCACTTATACATCCTTGGCTTTTAAATATTCGGCTTTAAGCGTTCATGATGAAGGTAAATCCAGAAAAGCGCTTTGGACGCTTGAAATTTATAAAGAGTCATTTTTGTACAACCGCAAGTCATATATTGGTATGGCGTCATCGTCTGAAGACGCATTGGTTTTCACACTATAACTTTAATTGAAGTTAATGGATCTCTATGAAATTTTACCATAAGGTTAAATACTACAAAAGGAAGGTTGGGATTGATTTTGGGGGTGATGGTACCAACAGTTAAGGAATTAGGGGCCAAAAATAAGCATTTTCTAGTTTCCAGACAATAACTTGTGGAACGGTGTAGGGATCTCTCTGAAATTATACCACAAGTTTCCATACCACAAAGGGATGGTTAGGATTTGCTTTGGGTAGGTTATGGCTCAAACTGTTTGGGAATTGGGGGCAACAAAGGGGGAAAAACTAAGATTGTCCTGGTTAATGGACAAATACTTTAGTACAAAACATAATTTAAAGCAGTGTAAGGGAGATAAATCAAATACATCATTTGAATTACCTCCCTTACACTGCTTTTAAATTATGTATAAAGTAATGGTTAATGAACAATTAAGACAATTTAAAACAGTGTAAGGGAGGTAATCCAAACACAACGTTTTGATTACTTCCCTTACACTGCTTTTAAATTATGTCTAAAGAAATGCATATTTATAAAGGAAGACCAGTAAAAATATCTGCAAATGTTACCAAAAAATCCATATGAAAGATTTGACACAATATTTTAGATTCTATTATAAAATAGATTAAGTTAGCACTACGGTAAATTAATTTAAATTGGTAATTATGGTTGCAAATTCCTTTGGAAATTTGAATTGAGATTTTAACCATATCTTGAGGGAAAGATTTTTTTCGGGGAAAAAGGAGGGGGGGGGGGGGGTAAAAAGAAATTGTGGGGAGTCAATTTTTTCTCATTTCAGATTTAGAAATTAAAAAGAATTATTCTTCAAATATTATTTTTTTTTCAAATTTCAAATATTGAAAAATTTCAAGAAGTAATCTTTAATTGCACAGTATGGCGCATTAGATTTGTAAAAATCTTTGACCACATTTATTTATTTGTTATGCCGAATCTGATCGTGTATTTAGATTTTTAATTTTGGGTCCAGTTTTCAAATTGGTCTACATTAAGGTCCAAAGGGTCCAAAATTAAACTTAGTTTGATTTTAACAAAAATTAATATATATGGGGTTCTTTGATATGCTGGATCTAAACATGTATTTAGATTTTATATTTGGGCCCAGTTTTCAAGTTGGTCCATATTGGGGTCTAAATTAAACTTTGATTGATTTCAACAAAAATTGAATTATTGGGGTTCTTTGATATGCCAAATCTAACCGTGTATTTAGATTTTTTATTTTGGGTCCCGTTTTTTAAATTGGTCTACATTAAGGTCCAGAGGGTCCAAAATTAAACTTTGTTTGATTTTAACAAAAATTGAATTCTTGGGGTTCTTTGATATGCTGAATCTAAACATGTGTTTAGAATTCTGATTATGGGCCCAGTTTTCAAGTTGGTCCAAGTTTGGGTCCAAAATTAAACTTTGTTTGATTTCAACAAAAATTGAATATATGGGGTTCTTTGATATGCTGAATCTAACCATGTATTTTGATTTTTGGGCCCGTTATCAAATTGGTCCACATTACGGTCAAAAGGGTCCAAAATTAAACTTTGTTTGATTTCATCAAAAATTGAATTCTTTGGATTCTTTGATATGCCTAATCTAACCATGTATTTAGATTTTGGATATTGGACCATAATAGGAACATTTAAAAAATTTTAAGTTCTTAGACCACATTCATTCTGTGTCAGAAACCTATGCTTTGTCAAATATTTAATCACAATCCAAATTCAGAGCTGTATCAATCTTGAATGTTGTGTCCATACTTGCCCCAACTTTTCAGGGTTCGACCTCTGCGGTCGTATCAAGCTGCGCCCAGTGGAGCATCTTATTATAGCTTCCTATGCGGAATGGATTTCGCTCATTGTTGAAGATCGTACAGTAACCTATAGCTTTTACTTTGTCATTTTGTTTCTGGTGGAAAGTAGTCTATGATGCCACATGTTCTTATTTGTGTATTAGGTTTACTCGACATATTTCTGAAAATCGATGTGTGAGACTTAATTTGATATTCGGTGTAAAGTTTCAAAAAGCAGAAACCGGTTTCATCTTGGAGGACAGTGCATATTAGTATTATTTAAATTGAATTCTGACGTTTGACAGAGGCTTTAAGGCTTGATACACAAACATTTTTTATAAACTTTCAACTGATACTTTCATTCCGACGCAATAGGTGTCAATAATAATGCGTGGAAAAATTATCTTGCATCTCCAGAAAATCTAATCATGAATTTTTTTATGAATAATGGAAAAATAAACGGTTCCTTTATGAGGGTCTGGATGGGGTCCTTCATTTCTGTATTCTTTAAATTTTTAGTCAATTTTTCTCTTATTCTTTATATTTTTTGCTCATTATTCTCTTTTCAGTAAACCCCCATCCACACCTTCCTTTATCTCTACGTCGTGTAATGATAATCATACATTGAAAAATTGTTTGATATTTAAATGATTTTGGTCATTTTTATTTTAATATAGAAGTAAATCGTACAACATCTTCAAAATTTATAAGAAACGAGCTGAAATTGGATGCAAGCCTGAGTGAATTGGATTATAAAGTTTATTTTCAAAATTCATATTGGTATTTGTGTCTCGCCTGCGGCGGCGTTAACTTTTCGTATAAAGTTTTATATTTCAGAAGATAGAAGGTCTGGATGCTTCATATCTTGTTTACAGATATCTTATGTCACGAAGTTTCCGTCTGTTATATATGTCCAGTTTCTTTGACCTCATTTGCACGGCCAAGCGCCTGCCTAAAACATTGTTGTCAACTTTTTTTAGGGTTTTTGTGTCACTTGAATTTTTACTTATAATGATTGATGGGATAACTATATTGGGTATATGGGATCCTTCATGGCAAGTTCTACTTGTTTAAAAGACTGGTTAACCTTAACTTGACCTCATATCATGTGTCAGTGTTCAAGATTTTAGCTTTCATGTTCAAGTCCCTATTTCGGATACTGTTAGTAATGGTCAACTATATTTATATGGAATTCAACACGACCGGTCTATTTTAGAATAAAATATATTGAATTTTTGTCCACGACAAATGTTCAGATCCGTGTTGCATTTTGAAAAATTGTGACACAAAACATGGTGTCCTGATGTAAATTACATTTACAAAACCGGATCCTTTCATTTTCACATGACCCATTTCTTAGAAGTACAAACATTAAGGTGCAAATCATAATGGTGACTAATCTTTGCTATATCCATATACATATATTTCTTTCCATACAATGTGCTCAATTTAATGAAAGACCAAAACTACTTCGGGGTAAGGGTCACTCTATCATCTTGCCGATCATTTTTGATCATTTTTCCAGTTATTCAGAACAGTTGAAAAAAATATTACATCTCACATTCGAAAATAGTGATATGTGTATAATATTCTACAATTTTACACAAATAATAAATAAGTGACCAGAAATCCAACCTGTTATCTGCCTAACAGTGGTCCGTCACCATACCGTATACTAGATAATCTAGGAGTACAAACATTTTTTGCAGGGGTAGTCAATTACACAGTACCAATATCTCCTGTTTGTCATCATTCTTGTCGGGTTTTTTTCCGAATCTGCCCTCACCCAGTTTGTCTTTGTCTATTGCTTTCCCCTCCATGACTGGCACTTCGGATTTTCTTCTTTTCCTTCTACAGAACATGTTAATTTCACATGAAAGGTGGATTAATTTCCAAGTTTAACCGATACTATTTACAATAGGTGTTCATACAAATCCTGATTCTTTTTTTGCTGAAACATGAATCATTTGATTCTGTCATACGTTTTCAATGTGTATGAAAACAACACAAAAGTGTAGGTGGGTGGCGGGGCACATTTTATCAATTTGAAAAAACAGTTATTGCCATTATACATTTATACATATTGTTAATACGAATAATTGATAGAAATGTGA